CCCCAAAACCCCAAAACCCCAAAACCCCATTTTTAACACAAAGATTGATCAAGATATTTTATTTTTTATTCGAACTTTATATTCTGCTCTTTCCGCAAACTCATTTCTCTCTTATGAGGTTCATAAGAATCCATCTTCTCTATCAGTAAGAGCTTGTCTCCTAGTCTGCTTTCCCATCTGTTCTTCACTACTTGATGCTTTTGTAATTCCTTATAAAACTCATCATCAATTTTATTCAGATTTTTCTTCTCTTTAGCAGAGGGAGTTGTCTTTTGTTGAAGAAGGTTCTCAAATTCTATATGTTGTAAACCCTAATTACTATTTCTTTCAGAGAAGAAATTTCTATTGTTGAACTTGCTCAACAAAGCTAGATTCATTCTGGGAGTTTCTTTATTAAAATTAAGTAGCTCATAAAGGTCTGTGTAGTCTATAATCTCCACTCCATTGTACACAACTTTATTTAAAAGATTCATGAAGACTACGAGTGTTCTAAAGTTATACAAGGAAAGCTACATGTCTATGAGCTCTGTTCTGTAATGACTTTTTAGCTAGAGCTTTATGTTTCTCTGAAGAAGGAAGGACCCCAACAATTTTTGAGTCTATTGGAAGCTTTATGTTAAATTTCACCCGATTTTCTGTTCTTGAAGGGCTATTACTAATAATTTTTCGTTTTGAATTATTTCTCTTTTTCTATGAAGATCTTCGTGAATCTAACCTACCAATACGTTTGACTTTAAGCTTTTGGCATTGAAGGAATTGTAATTGAATTTCAGATCAGCAAGTTGCTTGTTTTTATTATCAATAATGCTTCATAGATTATTATTTTCTATACTGTGATAATGAATCTCCTACTTTTGTCTTCAGTTTGCTTTTTAACAAAGAAATTTTCTGAAATACTTTTCACACTTCCTATCAAAGGTGAAAAGTGAAAATACCAGAGAATTTCTTTGAAATGGGATATTTCCTTGGATTAGTACCACGCATATTTCTAAAAAGTATGAAAGGAGAGACTTTTACTCTATTTTATTCATTTTTATCACCTTTTTCTGTCTATTTGTTCTATTTATACTCTCTAGATTTCGTTAAAGAAAATACTGAGTAATCTTTGGAGAAATAAACTTTTTCTCTCTAACCATCAAGTCTTCTAATGTCTTCTCAGGGTCAAGTTTTGAGTTCATTATTTGATCGAATGGTATGCACCCTATTCCTTCAGGGTCTGAAGGTTTGTCTAACAATAAAGTTGTTATTTTTATGCTAAATTACTTACATCCTGTGTATAAATTCTGCAAAGAAAGTTCTTGGTTTCAGATCTTTCCCAACCTAAAATTCATGACACTCTTCTTGTCTCTTAAAGGATATTGAGGATAGTCTAGGGATCAAAATAAGAGAGTTACTAAATTCTCTGTGTATAATTTTGCTTTGATCAGGACTGGCCCATCTCTGATTCTGACTCCTATTACTGAACATTAGCATTGCTTGGTTTGCCACAAATAAAGAATAAAATACTAAGGAACTGGAGAGTTTTTGTAAAAATGTTGCTTAATTAATGCTAAATTTTACAATTAATGTATAATTTTGATATTGGGAAATTATTCATAAACTTACTTTCCAAAAATCCTTCTTTTATATGGAGAAGTCTTCGTAGGGTTTCATACTTGGAGGCAGTCAAGTTCGATATGCGTAGATCTAGTATGAGATTTATTATGTAATTGTTCTTTCATCTCTTTTGTAATAAAATATATATGAGTATTAATGGGGTTTTGGGGTTTTGGGGTTTTGGGG